GTTTCTCCATTCTTCCTCCGCGAGTACTCCAGTGTTCCATCCCACACTCCAAACGCCAAACCCCGAACATGCTGCTCTTCACAATTAAATCTGCGATCCTGGCCTAAATAGACCCTTAGTATTATGCATATAAAAGAGATGTAAAGTGTAGGGACCTTTAGATGTACACCCACCTTGAGGTTTAGGGGACCTGATGTGAATGTAACACCAATATACATATAATTTAAGAATATATTAATAGATATATGTAAAACATGTCTCACTATATGGATGGTGCTAATATAAGTAACCTTGAACATAAAAAATAAATAAATAAATAAATAGTGTGCGTAATTTGTAACAATAAATAAAAACCTGACTGAAAGATCTACCGCTAGTTGTAGGAGGTGTACAAATTTTCAAAAGATGATTATTTGGTGGGTCCTGGGAGTCAACTTGGCATCTATATATATGTATATCAGTATATTCGTTACTCTCATATGAAATAATAACCGTTAAACTCAACTAATTTCACTGAACTCATTTCAATTATTGTGGCCAATGTACTTAATCCTCTTAAAAGAGTTGTGTACAGCCAAGGCTACTTGTTGGCTTGACTTCACCTGTGAGTAAGCACAAGAGTCTCTATTGTATTTCGCACCTCGCACATGGGACCCATTGTGTCAGCCTAGCCGCTCAGTGTACCAAAGCTGATGTCACTACTTCGCTGGTCACCAGGCTGGATAAAGTTCCCGATCATATGGATCGAGTCCTCTCCAGGAGCTTGGTCGACACCAGTAAACGCTGGGATGGGGGGGGTGCAAAGTAAGACACCGGTAATTTCTGCGCAGATATACAGATCTACTTGTAGGTCTGATGATATCCTCCAAATCAATGTGTACTGCTACGGGCTCCTTAATTCACGCCAACCTTCAATAGGGTCCGTCGTTGATTCTATGTGTACACTATATACAATAATAAGGGTTCATTACGGATTATACCTCCTACTAGTTAGGGGATTATCCATGACTCCTCAAACTTATATTCGCACATCACATCAAGAATAAACCGCATAATCCCATAGACTGCCCACTCCACAACTACTTCTGGGTTACATCTCTACGTTCCCAACGGTCACGTCCGTGACGACGTTTCTTCAACTTGCGACTTTTCACTAAAGGCACCCCTAAAAATGCTAAATCAAAGGAAAAGATCAATCAACACAAGACATCTTGAGCTTCAACACATGGGGTTGAATTTGATGAAACACCAAAAAAAGTGTGTTTGTGACTGATTGATTTTCTCATCAGGAATTGTGTGTAACACACACTCTACTAATGAAAAAAAAAACTAAAGAAAATTTACGGTAATTACTTTTTATATGTGTATATACAGTAGCTGTTTCAAAAGTACTTCACAGGCAATTGTGAAGAAAATTGCTATAAGTATGCTTTAAAAATATCTATTTTAATGTTTTGGGTATTTTTATCAATTAACCAAAATCCAAGTGAGGGAACAGAAGAGGAAATCTTAATCAAATCAATATTTGTGTGACTACTCTTTGGCATTATCAAACCAGCATTAAATGTTGCCACTTGCACACTTTTTTATACTTGCACAAAGTCATGGGATTTTGTAGGATTAGAGTCAAGTGTGTGACTAACCAATTATACCACATAGTTCTTAATGATCATCAATTTCATATGTATGGTTGAACCTCAGTCATTAACTGAAAAAGAAACAGCTCCGCTTAAAATTGAGTGAGAACAGCAGACTCCTGTAGCGTGAGTTGTGGCAGTCAGTTTAGACTTGTTATTTATTTATTTATTTTAGGTACTTATATAGCTCTGTCAATTTATGCAGCGCTTTTACATATATATTGTACATTCACATCAGTCCCTAACCCTCAAGGGGTGTACAATCGAAAGGTCCCTAACTTATATTCATACATACGAGGGCCAATTTGACAGGAATCAATTAACCTACAGCATGTCTATGGAGTAGGGAGGAAACCAGGAGTACCCGAGGAAAACCCCACGCAGGCACATGGGAGAACATGCAAACTCCAGGCAGGTGGTGCCGTTGGGTTGGCAGTTTCATGTCACAGGTCATACTCTCCATAGCAAAACTGAACACAGCAACAAGATACAGGGTAGTTGTAATGCATAACAGTGGTGGTCCCAGCAAATATTAATTTGATTTGGACCTCTCTTCTTTATATTCACCTTATATTTTGTTAATTGATAAACATAAACATTTTAACACTTATTAACACTTCCATCTCTAAAATCTCTAAAAACTTTTGCATGGTAATATATACAGCTGAAACTCGAAAAATTAGAATATCATGCAAAAGTTCATTTATTTCAGTAATGCAACTTAAAAGGTGAAACTAATAGATGAGATACTGTAGACTCATTACATGCAAAGCAAGATAGTGCAAGCCGTGATTTGTCATAATTGTGATGATTATGGCTTACAGCTCATGAAAACCCCAAATCCACAATCTCAGAAAATTAGAATATTGTGAAAAGTGCAATATTCTAGGCTCAAAGTGTCCCACTCTAATCAGCTAATTAAGCAATAACACCTGCAAAGGGTTCCTGAGCCTTTAAATAGTCTCTCAGTCTCAGTCTGGTTCAGTAGGAATCACAATCATGGGAAAGACTGCTGACCTGACAGTTGTGCAGAAAACCATCATTGACACCCTCCATAAGAAGGGAAAATCTCAAAAGGTAATTGTAAAAGAAGTTGGATGTTGCCAAAGTGCTGTATCAAAGCACATTAATAGAAAGTTATGTGGAAGGGAAAAGTGTGGAAGAAAAAGGTACACAAGCAGCAGGGATGACCGCAGCCTGAAGAGGATTGTCAGGAAAAGGCCATTCAAAAGTGTTGGGGACTTTCTCAAGGAGTGGACTGAGGCTGGAGTCAGTGCATCAAGAGCCACCACACACAGACGGATCCTGGACATGGGCTTCAAATGTCGTATTCCTCTTGTCAAGCCGCTCCTGAACAACAAACAACGTCAGAAGCGTCTTACCTAGGCTACTGAAAAACAGACCTGGTCTGTTGCTCAGTGGTCCAAAGTTCTCTTTTCTGATGAAAGTAAATTTTGCATCTCATTTGGAAACCAAGGACCCAGAGTATGGAGGAAGAATGGAGAGGCACACACTGCAAGATGCTTGAAGTCCAGTGTGAAGTTTCCACAGCCTGTGTTGATTTGGGGAGCCATATCATCTGCTGGTGTTGGTCTACTGTGCTTCATTAAGTCCAGGGTCAATGCAGCCAACTACCAGGAGATTTTGGAGCACTTCATGCTTCCTTCCGCAGATGAGCTTTATGGGGATGCTGACTTAATTTTCCAGCAGGACTTGGCACCTGCCCACACTGCCAAAAGCACCAAAACCTGGTTCAATGACCGTGGGATTACTGTGCTTGATTGGCCAGCAAACTCGCCTGACCTGATGTCAGGGCTCCGGGTATGACCAGAGGTATGTGAACTGACGCAGGGAAATGCAGGCTTCAGATATGTGATAAACAATATAATTTATTAATACTAACAATACAAACGCAGTGCAATACTAAAACATAAAACACAGTGCAAACGAACCAAACCAAACCACCCACAGATAACAATACATACAATGCAAGCGTAGTCAGGCAGGCCTGGGTCAATAACAATCGGGCAGGTAGGAACAGGAGGAGCAGGCAGAGAGTAGTCAGGTCACGAGCCGGGTACAGCAACTAACGGGCAGGTGGGTACAGGGGGTCAGGCAGAGAAATGGTCGGGGTCACAAGCCAGGGATCAAACAGGAGAAGTCAGCAGAGGTCAGGATCAGGCAGGGTCAGCAACGAGTCAGTCAGGCAGAACAGGAACGCAGGTAACAAGATACAGGGGCCCATAGAAAAACACACACCAAGGCACAGACTGCAGGTCTGGCCATCCCTTAAATACACCTCCATAATCAGCTTCAGGTGTTTGGCTGACTACAGGGTTGAGTCTCTGATTGCTGAGAGCACCCCGCTGGCCAGCCCTGGTACTGCAGCCCACAAGGCAGGTGAGTCCCACCATTACTGGCAAGTCCATTCCTGACAGTACCCCCCCCTCAAGGAGCGGCCTCAGGACGCTCCAAACAGTCCTAGCTGGGCAAAATGTTCCACCGCCCGGGTCTGGTAACTGGCGGGATATCAAAGACTGGCACATTGGGCTGGACTCCGGGCAGAGGCACATCGGGCTGGACTCCGGGCAGAGGCACATCGGGCTGGACTCCGGGCAGAGGCACATCGGGCTGGACTCCGGGCAAAGGCACATCGGGCTGGACTCCGGGCAGAGGCACATCGGGGCTGGACTCCAGGCAGAGGCACAGGGCCCCCAGGAGGAGCGGCAGGCACAGGGCCCCCAGGCGGGGCGGCAGGCACCGGCCCCCCCAGGCGGGGCGGCAGGCACCGGGCCCCCCAGGCGGAGCGACAGGCACAGGGCCCCCAGGCGGAGCGACAGGCACAGGGCCCCCAGGCAGAGCGACGGAGCACAGGGTCCCCGCGAAGCGACAGGGCCCCCAGGCGAGCGGCGGGCGCCGGGCCCCCAGGCGGAGCGGCGGGCGCCGGGCCCCCAGGCGGAGCGGCGGGTGCCGGGCCCCCAGGCAGAGCGGCGGGCCCTCAGATGGAGCGGCGGGCACCGGGCCCCCAGAGGGGGCGGCAGGCACCGGGCCCCCAGCGGAGCGGCAGGCGCCGGGCCCCCAGGCGGAGCGCCAGGCGCCGGGCCCCCAGGCGGAGCAACAGGCACAGGGACCCCAGGCGGAGCGAGAGGCAAAGGGCCCCCAGGCGGAGCGACAGGCACAGGGCCCCCAGGCGGAGCGGCAGGCACAGGGCCCCCAGGAGGAGCGGCAGGCACAGGGTCCCCAGGAGGAGCGACAGGCACCAGGCCCCCAGGAGGGGTGGCAGGCACCTGGGCCCCCAGGCGGAGCAACAGGTACAGGGCCCCCAGGCGGGAGCGACAGGCACAGGGCCCCCAGGAGGAGTGGCAGGCACAGGGCCCCAGGCGGGGCGGCAGGCATCGGGTCATCAGGCACGACAGCGGCATCAGGTCACCAGCATCAGGTCATTTGGCTCGCCAGCGGGCACTGCGTCATCTGGCAATGCAGTGGGCATCGAGTCACCAGGCACGAAGTGGGTTCCGAGTCACCTGGCATGACCGCGGGCACTGGATCAGACATTGGATCGTCTGGCTCGACAGCGGGCATCGGGTCACCAGCATCAGGTCATTTGGCTTGACAGCGGGCACCGTGTCATCTGGCAAAGGTAGTGGGCACCGAGTCACCAGGCACGACAGTGGGCTCTGAGTCAATTGGCACGACAGCATCCCGGGCATCAGGTACTGGCTCGACAGGGTCACGGGTCATCTGGCCGGATCGTCTGGCTTGACAGCAGCAAGGCACCAGCATGACCGGGGCACTGGGTCATCAGCATTGATCGTCTGGCTCGACAGCGGGCATCGGGTCACCAGCATGACCGCGGGCACTGGGTCATCAGGCATTGGATTCGCTCGACAGCGGGCATGGCAGGTATACAGACAGGGGCATCGGGCTCGGCACAGTCATCTAGAAATGAGTGGGCACCGAGTCACCAGGCACGACAGTGGGCTCTGATCAACTGGCATGACAGCGGGCTGGGTCATCAGGTACCGGATTCAACAGCAGGGATTGCACTCTGCTCGACAGCTCGACAGCATGAGGGTCATCAGGCATTGGCAGTCTGGCTCAGGGGTCGGGTCACCAGGCATGACAGCGGGGGTCACTGGGTCTCACGACAGAGGGTTCACCAGGTATGACAGCGGGGACTGGGTCACCAGGCATCAGGTCATTTGGCTCGCCAGCGGGCACCGCGTCCATCTAGCATCAGGTACCGGATCGTCTGGATCGACAGCAGGCACCGGGTCATCTGGCGTTGGACCGTCTGGCTCGACAGCGGGCATCGGGTCACCAGGCATGACAGCAGGCACTGGGTCATCAGGTACCGGATCGTCTGGCTCGACAGCGGGCATCGGGTCACCAGGTATGACAGCGGGCACCGGGTCATCAGGTACCGGATCGTCTGGCTCCACAGCGGGTATCGGGTCACCAGGCATGACAGCGGGCACTGGGTCATCAGGCATTGGATCGTCTCGCTCGACAGCGGGCATCGGGTCACCAGGTATGACAGCGGGCACTGGGTCATCAGGCGTGATAGGATCATCAGGCTGGATCAGTTCATCAGGCTGGGTACAGACATCAGGCTGGGTAGAGACATCAGGCGGGGTAGAGACATCAGGCTGAAGTGCGGGTGCCGAGGCACCAGGCTGAACCACAGAAGGCAGGTTCTCAGACGGCAGGCTCACCGGTTTGGATACTGGCAGGATGGTACTGGTTGGAAAGAATTTTCGCTTTTTTCTGGTTTTAACTACTGGAGCACTGCAAGTAAACACAGGTCTGCAAATGAATGGAACAGCTGAGGACAGAGAAGAGCTGGAAGATGGAACAGAGGAGGGAGCAGTTGCTACAGAGGACTTCTTTACAGGGTTAAAGAAAGGATAGGTGCAGCTAGTGGGAGCAGAGGACTGGTATGTGGTAGTTAGAGTATACTGGGCAGTCACTGGGGGTGCTGTCGGGGATGCAGGAAGAGTGCCTTGAGTGGAGGAATGATGTTGTAAGCTGACTGAGGCTGGGTGCAACAAGTCTGACCATGTCTGCAGTATGGGTTGAACAAAGCTCAGTTTACACAAAGCCTGTCTGGTCAATGACTGCACTGCGTTTATACAATCTCTTAGTATCTGTGGAAAACATGCAGAATAACGCTCCAGAAAGTAATCCACATCATCCTCTAATAACCATACCAGGGACTCTACCTGGTCGGCACTAAATGGCGGCAAAAATTCATCCCTGCATTCGGGGGTACCAGATGAAACCAACTCAGCACAAACCTGAATCAATGGCTGCACCTCAGAGAATTCTGTGCCCTGATCTACTAGGCAATGAGCGATCCGTATACATTCTAGTAGTTGATCCCTGGGATACTCCTTCAGAGTTTGATAAGCATACTCTCTGTCATCAAACACTAGCAGATATAAATACACAACCTCATCAAGATCCATCCTTCCCAGCAACAATAAGCCCAAGATGGCTTCCTGTGCAGCCACTTCTGGTCAGGATTGGCCTTGGTGTAATGTCAGGGCTCCGGGTATGACCAGAGGTATGTGAACTGACGCAGGGAAACGCAGGCTTCAGATATGTGATAAACAATATAATTTATTAATACTAACAATACAAACGCAGTGCAATACTAAAACATAAAACACAGTGTAAACGAACCAAACCAAACCACCCACAGATAACAATACATACAATGCAAGCGTAGTCAGGCAGGCCTGGGTCAATAACAATCGGGCAGGTAGGAACAGGAGGAGCAAGCAGAGAGTAGTCAGGTCACGAGCCGGGTACAGCAACTAACGGGCAGGTAGGTACAGGGGGTCAGGCAGAGAATGGTCGGGGTCACAAGCCAGGGATCAAACAGGAGAAGTCAGCAGAGGTCAGGATCAGGCAGGGTCAGCAACGAGTCAGTCAGTCAGGAACAGGAACGCAGGTAACAAGATACAGGGGCCCATAGAAAAACACACACCAAGGCACAGACTGCGGGTCTGGCCATTCCTTAAATACACCTCCGTAATCAGCTTGCAGGTGTTTGGCTGACTACAGGGTTGAGTCTCTGATTGCTGAGAGCACCCGCTGGCCAGCCCTGGTACTGCAGCCCACAAGGCAGGTGAGTCCCACCATTACTGGCAAGTCCATTCCTGACACCTGAACTCCATAGAGAAACTATGGGCATTGCCAAGAAAGATGAGAGACATGAGACCGAACAATGCAGAAGAGCTGAAGGCCGCTATTGAAGCATCCTGGTCTTCCATAACAACTCAGCAGTGCCACAGGCTGATAGCTTCCATGCCACGCCGCACTGAGGCAGTAATTGCTGCAAAAGGGCCCAAACCAAGTACTGAGTACATATGCATGCTTATACTTTTCAGAGGTCCGATATTATTCTATGTACAATCCTTGTTTTATTGATTGCATGTAATATTCTAATTTTCTGAGATTGTGGATTTGGGGTTTTCATGAGCTGTAAGTCATCACAATTCTGACAAATCACGACTTGAACTATCTAGCTTTGCATGTAATGAGTCTATCTCATATATTAGTTTCACCTTTTAAGTTGCATTACTGAAATAAATGAACTTTAGCACGATATTCTAATTTTTGGAGTTTCACCTGTATATATATATATATATATATATATATATATATATACCATCTTTATTCCATCTCCTTTCTGACTCTGCTTAAAAGAACTGTTAAAGTTATCATACCTGTTTTTTTCCTGTATATTAGTATGTACAGAACATTTTTTTAATATCTGCAATGTCAACATTGTTGCAATGTACAACCAATTATATTCCACATATACAGTACTTCAGTCATAAACTGTGTACTGCCTTATACTATGTCATTGCAACATTACCCACATAACTTTTTAAAAAAATTAAGTATTTACCATGTCTCACTTTCGAGCCATACAGTATATAACCTTTTGTTGATGATGGATCATGTGGTCACTTTTACACTAAATATCTTTCAGACAAGCTAATGCCATATTCCCTTCCCTTTTGGGTGTCTGTGCTACTGAATTGGTGCTCTTCAATGTTTTGCTACACTTTTAAATGGTTGTGTTGCTTGATAAATTTGAAATACATTGTAATGTTCTGTTGTAATAGTGTCTACAGATTGTTTGGTGTGAAGCCTGAAATTGTAGTATTTAAAGTCCACTATATTTTAAAAACAAACAATTTTTGTCTAACATATACTCTAACATGATATTTGTCTTTTTTAAGTATATCATATAAAAAAATTGAAATACTAAAACATATTTCATAATAGAATTTCTACCAAAAACTATAATAAATTGAGCTTCCATGATATATTATTCTGTCATATTGGGGAGAAGCTAATCTAATTAAGACATTCAATTCTAAAATTAACTGCTCACAATGAATTTTTATGAACATCTGGTAACTGGAAAGCTTTAATAGTTCTAGCCAGTAAAATTCATGTCGATAAGATGACTAATTACAGTTAAAGCCATTTCATTTCTGTCCCTGTCAGCTTGAATAAAATGTACATACATATACCTGGTTTGTATATGGCTGTAGTCATAGTTTAGTGAAGCCATCTAATATAACCCCTAATGTTTAGAAATCTGAAAACTCCTTAACTATAGGGGAAAAATTAAGTAGGAGGGAATGTCTTTAAAAAAAAAAAATTTTTTTAATAGATTTTTTAAAATATATTTTTGCAGAATATGACAAGTAAATGGTGATAAGGGGCATCCCTGCCCAGTCCTGGTCTGTAATTGGCAGTTAGAAGAGATGGTCCAATTTACATAATTCAGCTTTTAAGAATTTGTAAATAAAAAGGATGTTTCTTCAATGGCCTTCCAATTCCATGGAGCAGTGTCTACCTCATCAAGTTAAATTCTTTCTCAAGCTCTAAATATAACAGCAACAGGGACCATACTGAAACTGCTGGTGAAGAGTATTATGCTATGAAAATATAGGTCATCAGGGTAGAGGAAATACGGAGTCTTGTTGAGTTCTCTAGAATTTTATGTCCTGCACTGACTTTCAGAAAAAAGGCTTTTATGGTGATTAGTGGAATGTTTTTTTGACACATTTGAAAGTTAACAGCCTTTTCTAATTTCTAGGGTGATTGATTGTAATGTTCTAAAAAAAATTCCTGGAACTTTGCATCCGTTAAAGTGTCTAATGTTGTCAGTTCACCCGAACTGTAACACTACAGTATATCCATATTACTCAGCACTGCTAAATTCTCTCTCTGGAAATACTGTTAATATTACTACTTAGTAATAAACACTGAGGTTGATTTAATAAAGGCAAATAGACTGTGCACTTTGAAAGTACTTAGTAAATTAGATAAATATAAATTTTACAAAGAATTCCCAGGCAATCACATGCAAGAAATACGAAAAAGCAGCATTTTTGCTTGCACATGGTTGGATGATGGAATGATGGAAGTCATTAATGCTTCCATTTCTTTATTACTTTCTGGAGCACATGCTCTTGCAAATGGGTTGCAAAGTGCACAGTTTATTTGTATTTAGTAAATCAACCCATTGATGCAGTACAGCAGCCTAAATAGTGTGCATCAAGTTAGTACAGTGTTTCTGGCTTTCTTTTGAAATAACATACTATAATTTAGATTAGATTGTTTAAAACCTGTTACAATATGAAGTTTTTCTTGTGTAAAATCTTTATTAGATGTTCTGATATACAGGAATACATTTAAAACATTGGTTCACAACTTTGTTTCTGTAACTGTTTCTACTATAAAGACCTGGCCATTATTTTGTTTTCTTAGCACATCTCTCATAACAGCAAAAAATCAGCAACCTGGTTTAGATTATCCAATCAAGTTGCACCCTTTTTTTCTTGACCAATAGGAGTGCCCCCAAAGTCTTGTAGATATTGTTTTGTGTGTTATTTGTACATATAATGTAACTCTACCAAAAAATTGATTAAAATATTTATTTTGTCCAAGAATCCACAGATTTAGGTGTGTTTATGTATTTACAGTTAATGTATATTTGCATATCCACATAACTTCAACAGTTTTGGTGACCACTTATTGGACACACACTTGTTAGCCTCTTTCAGTAATATTTTAATAGGTTGCAAAATTATGAATTGAAATGAATGTACAAACATTATCTGTGATGACAGATATAATGTGGGAGTCTTATGTCTGCTATCTCAGTATTTTACTTTCACTGCATCAAAGCTTGGATGTCAATGACCATATACCATATAAGGGCCACAAGCAGTACAAAAAATTGCTACTGCCCCAGTCTAAAACTGGCCTTCACAGAAAGGAGCACATGGAAGGCGATGCATGTCAAACAACAAAAAAAGAAAAATCCCCAGCTCCAGTTATAGACTGGGGCAGTGGCCATTTTTTTGTACTGTTGAATTGTTGGTCAAGAGGGCGCACTGTACACCTTAGCTGCCATTATGCTACATGCTGGGTGTCCAGTGCACTCCTGTACCTTTAAGGTGGAGTGGGATTAAATACATGTGCTTCTACTATGGGGGCTCTTAAAATTAGAGATTTAGGAACTACAGAATACTGGGGCGCCGTGAGGAGGC